CCTGTTTGCTTCAGTGCATGGCTGCCAGCCGCCATCTTGGCTGACAGTTAATTTGCATAAGGATATGCTGATTAGCCAATGGGAAGGGTAGCGGTCGTACGCTAATTACCATGTTTCTCTTTTATTAGTGTAGATTAACTAAAAATGGATTATAGATCTCAGTGTAACATGTAAAACTAAAAATATTTGGAAGAAAATATAAAATAAAATCTTCATGTCTTGGGATTAGGTATAGAGTTCTAGGAAGACAGCAAAGGCAGGCTTCATTAAGAATATGTGATAAATTGGATTTCAAAATGAAAAATGAAAAGACAAGCTACAGTTTAGAAAAAAAATTGTAAAACATATATCAAATGACATAAATAAAGACTCTCAAAAATTCAATAAGAAATAAATAATCCAAACTAAAAAAATGGACACAGATCCTCAATAAATATTTCATCAAAGAGGATATAAAAATGGCAAATAAGCACATGAAAGATGGGTAATGACATATTCATCAATTAATGAAATGCAGATTAAACAATGATTAGATACAAGTACACATAGATTTAAAAAGTTAAAAAATTTAAAAGTCTTAACAATACCAAATTTTGGCAAAGATATAGAGCAACTATAATTCTCATACATTGCTGGTGCGAGTACTAAATGATACCATCACTCTGGAAAGCTGTTTGGCAGTTTCTGATAAAGTTAAACAAATATTTATAATACAGTAATCATACTCTGAAAGACATGAAACTTATGTTTAAAAGATATACACAGAATTCAGTTTTACTCATACTCACCAAAGCCTGAAAACAATGCAAATGTCCTTCAATTGGTATATTGTGTAACATCCAAACATGTACTACTACTCAGGAATTAAAAGAAATATATAGCACAGATGGATCTTAAAGGCATTCTGCTCAGTAGAAGTAGCTAATCTCTAAAGGTCATCTACTACATGATTCCATTTATATGATTTCTCAACAAGATAAAACAACAGTAATGAAAGATACTAGTGGTTACCAGAGGTAGAGGGATAACTACAAAGAAATAGCATGAGGGAGTGTTTTAGAGTGAAGAGACTGTTCTGTATTGGTTAAATGTATTAAAATTCATGGATCTGTATATAAAAAAGTAAAATTTACTGTATAATTTAAAAAAATCTGACTTACCATAAAGTAGAAATAAAGGTGTTCTGATAGTGTCAAGTCATTAAACAGTAAGTCATGCTGTGGGCAGAAGCCAAAGTTTTTTCGAATATCAGTTAGGTTCTTTGAGATGGGATATCCATTAACATAGACCTCTCCTCTGGTTGGAGGATGGCAACCTACAAGTAAACATGATAGAAGCTGAGCTTTGGTGAGCAAACATGATAAGACAATGAAAATTAGTATCCCAAATTCAGCCCACTTATGGATTACTCAAAAGAATGAGCACTATCTCCTGCAGAAGAACAGTTTAATAAAATGTTGAGTTACATCTGGGTGGTGGAATTAGCTATCTTTTAATTTTCTTTCCTTTCCGCTAATATATACTAATATTATATACTACTTAACTTCCTTTCCTTTCCTTTTCTTTTTGCTAATATATACTAATTTGTTGCTAATATATACTAGTTTGTTGCAATTGATATGGATTATATCGGTAATAATAACATTTAAATATTTTGTTATATTCCAATATATTTGCATTGAAACCAGCCAGTTACTATATTTGTGACCTATTATGTACTGTGTAAATGCTATGAAAAACAAATATCTATAATATAAAATTTTTATCCTTCAGAAATTTAAATAGTAATAACAACCTGTACAGATTTTATGGGAAACTATTTGGTAATATGTAAGATAGAAATTATATAATCATTTAAACCCTATAAATAATTTATTCTACTTTAAAATATATTCTTTTTGATATTTAGATATAGTTGACATATAACATTATATTAGTTTTGGTATACAACATGATTAGATATATGTGTATATTGTTAAATGATCACTTTAATTAGTATAGGTAACATCCATTACCATACATAGTTAAGAGATTTTTTTCTTGTGATGTAAACATTCAAGGTTTCCTCTTTTAGCAACTTCCAAATATACAATACAGTATTATTAACTACTAGAGGCCTG